TTTTGAGGCAAGGTCTGGCTCTGTTACCAAGGCTGGAGTACAGTGGCACAATATCACAGCTCACTGCAAACTCCGTCTCCCAGGTTCAAGCAATTCTTATGCCTTAGTGGCTGGGATTACAGGCACCCACCACCACACCCAGCTGATTTTTGTATTTTTAGTAGAGGTGGAGTTCCACTATGTTGGCCAGACTGGTCTTGAATTCCTGATTTCAAGTGATCTGCCCACCTCCCAAAGGGCTGGGATTAAAGGCGTGAGCCACCACACTGGGCAGGTATTCTAAGAGTTTTTTTAGGAAGGAATATACATCAAGTTTCCTAACTTATCTCCAGGTACCAACCACACTTGACATCTGCAGTTTGCTTTTTGTGTGGCCACTACATTAAATTATGGGGTTTCTATAGCTGGGTACACAGGATTGATAAGATAGATTTAGTTCTTGCTCTCAGAGAGCTTTTATTCTAGCACAAGACAATTATGACATTATCTGCTTGATGTTGTTCTTTTTCATAATTTTTTGTTCTCTTCTGTATTATCCCTAATGCAAATTGTTTTCATTTCAGTATTCTGTGAATGGCTTCACAACCCAAACTGTGGGTGCTTCTGCTCAAGGAGTTTGTGGCACAGTGGGTTCAGGGGTCAACAATGGAGGTCAGACCATCGAAATGGTGAAAGGAGGACACCAGACCTTGGAATCCTGCCGGGGGGCTGGGCACCATCACACCCTGGATTCCTGCAAGGGGGGACGTGTGGAGGTGGACAACAGCAGATACGCTTACTCGGAGTGGCACAGTTTTACTCAGCCCCGTCTCGGTGAAGTGAGTTTCCCTAAGTGGCCCACAAATCTATTTTGATTTCTTTTAAACTTTATAAATAACTAACTTGATGCTGACCTTGATTTTCAATTAATTATGAATCTACTAATCTTGCTAATTGAAAGCTATTATTTTTCCTCAATTTTGATTTAGTTATGTTCAGATTTAAGTTGTTATTTACTTTCCCTCCTATTTTTTTTTAATATTTTTACTTAAATAATGTGTGGTGATATTTAAATTACTGTTTCATGGCTTTGTGCTAATATTTCCCATCTGACAACTTGTGCCTTAGAAACCAAAAGTGTGGTACCAGCAAGACCAGCATGTACCATCACTATGTCTATCTGGGAAGATCTGAGCCCACATCAACTTGTCTTCAGTTTAATGGATGCATTTCACTTTCAGCTAAAATTTTGAAAGGGAAAGTAATGACTCTGTAAAAGGAACACCCGTATTCTTGCTGCTACATGTGTGATTTTTAGAAACATCCTATACTGAATTTATAGTGTGATTTATGATACAGACCAATCATGTGCATTTTTTATGTGTAGGAATCCATTAGAGGACACACTGATTAAAAATTAAACAATGAAAGGTAAATCAAAGCAA